ACATAAGAAAATTGCAGCAATTGTTGTAGTTCTATTTTTTATCAGTTAACCATCCGAAACTCACCCGAGGCCCTCGGGACCTCAACCAAATATACCAACAAGTATTAAAATATCATACGAATTTAGTCGAGTCTTCAAATCACATCCAACAACACTAACAACACGAATCACACATAGATTCAAGCCTAATGAACTTTGAAACTTTTCATTTCTACAAACAACGTCGAAACCTATCAAATCACGTCCGATTGACCTCAAATTTGGCACACAAGTCATAAATGACATAACAAACCTATTAAAATTTTTAGAATCGGATTTCGACCCCGATATCGAAAAGTCAACCCCCCCGGTCAAACTTTCCAAAAATTCAACTTTCGGCATTTCAAGCCCAATTCCTCTACGGGCCTCCAAAAAGTTTTCCGAACACGCTCCTAAGTCCAAAATCACCATACAGAACTATTGGAATCATCAAAATTTAAATTCGAGGTCGTTTACACATAGGTCCATATCCGATCCACTTTTTTAACTTAAATTTTTAATTATGAGACTAAGTGTCTCATTTCATTCCGAATTCCTTCCGGACTCGAACCAACTAACCCGATAAGTTATAAATCAATTGCAAGGTATAAATTGAGCAATAAATGGAGGAACGGGGTTATAATATTCAAAACGACCGGTCGGGTCATTACATTGATTGTAAAAAAAAAATAACTTCTTCATCTTTCCAATTCTACCACCATCATAATTGCCACCATCCCTTTTCCTTCGTAGCAACCACGCTTCTACCATATTTTTAGTTTAGAGCAGTTTTGGTCCTTTTTCATATTTTTATCTTCTTTTTCATTTTATATTTACCATTGGAGCTGTCATTTTTCAAAAGTATTTGTCAAAAGACTTTAATTTGCTCATTCAAATGTCACTTACAATGGTAAATCTTTTTATTTTCTCATCACATAAGATAATCAAAGAACCCATTATGAATTCATGGGCTTTAAGTTCCGGAATAGTCTAGATTTTTCTTCACAATTTTTGTAACATTTGTAAACTCTTAATAAATTGTTAGACCCAAATGGTAATATTTTGTAAAAAATAAAAAATTTATGGCTTAGGTACTCCTCCTTGAACAAAATCCTAATTTTACAACAAAAAAAGGACATCAAATCGGAAAAATTAAAGATTTTCTAATCGGAACCTTTTCGATTAGCATAATATTCTTGTTGTTATTGTTTTAAAATGGAGTAATGGAGTAAACATGAGAATCATGATTGTGGTGGCAGCATTGTTGTTATGGAAAAAAGGGGGTGATGACAACTATGGTGATGTAGAGGTGAAAAGATGGAGAAGTTATTTTTTTTGACAATCAAGAGTTGGCCAATTTGTTTTAGAGATTTTGACAAAGTTAGCCGCTCGGCAAAAACTATAAACAACCGCTAGCCCACAATTGCACATTACAACTTGTGACCAAAAACAAATAAATTATGTTAACCATTGTGCCGCCCCCGAGTCTCAGCTTTCTTCTACAAAATTATAATTTACCGTTATGATAATTTCATAGATTGACATCCCTTATACTAGTTTTTAATATTATGTTTACATTATTTATTTTAATTTTTTGTGTAATAATTCTTTTAACTTATTTTTTTAGTAATGGTAGATAAATAGGAGTATAAGATAAATGTGCCCTTTTCTATATTAAACTCTTGCAATTGATAAATTCTATCAAACTAACGTATTTAACAAATTCTTTAAGGATAACAATCACAGTAACGGTCCAATCTATCAATTGTCAATATGTGCCACTCACCTACGACCACCAAGAAAAGAGGAGAAAACAAAACCCAACAAACAAAAACATAAATTTATGGAACATAAAGATCTGAAATCTTGAATCTTTTTCTAGATAAGGGAGATAATTTATACATATAATTATATAAAATAGATTGTTACTGTACAAAAATTATACAAAATAGATTGTCACTATACAATTTATATACAATAGATTGTCAATAAAAAAATATATATAAAATAAACCGTCACTATATAAAAAATATACTAAATAGACTGTCACTATACAAAATATATACAAAATAGACTGTTACTATACAAAAAATATACTAAATACACAGTAACTATACAATTTATATACAATAGACTGTCACTATACAAAACATATACAAAATAGACTGTCACTATACAAAATATATACAAAATAGACTGTTACTATACAAAAAATATACTAAATACACAGTAACTATACAATTTATATACAATAGACTGTCACTATACAAAACATATACAAAATAGACTGTCACTATACAAAAAATATACAAAATAGACATTTCGGGTTATTAGATGTAATATATTTGGGTCGGAGAGACATTTCGTGTCAATGGGGAAAACATGAGCTATTAAACTTTTGAGGGGCTATAGAGGGTCATTTTTTCTCTTCTTTTTTTTTTTTTTTTTTTTTTTTTGTGGGTCGGATTTTGGTGTTAGGTAAAAAAAGGATTAAAGGTGGGTTTATTTAATTATAGTCATGGTTTAAAATTGGACCAATAAAAAGTTATTACGTATAATTTAAATATTTTTTTTATTTGGCATTGACCGTTAGTCGTAGGAGCATATATGAGCCAGAAAGATAACGGTGGAGGTATTTTTGACTCAATAATATAAGGATAGTTTTGGCCATTTTTTGTCTTCTTTAATAACATTTCCCTTTCCTTTGGAATAGTAATCTTTCTACTGCTTTTTATACAAACGATGAAAGTTTATAACCAAACACGTGCGGCCGATTAGAAATTTGGAAACGCCAGTTCAATTGGACTTTAGTGCAAAAAGGTTCATTAAAATTTGGAGTAAGATGTCTTATATCATACAAAATGCTAGAAATAAATAAGGCTGTGGAAAATATATCATCATTTCATGAAGAGAACTTGTGCATGCCATTTACGTAATAGGTTTCACCGTATTCTCAGTATTTGTGCTGAAAGCTAAAGGGATAGCTAGCTCTCTTTGAGAACACGTGAAATTTAGTTACAACACAGACAAATACTAATGTTAAGGTTGTTTTCTTATTGTCCTCCTTTTGTTAGTTAGCAATTTTGTATATTTGCCACTCTAAGCCGATGCATGCCACATTGGTGAGGGTTTTAATCTCAGACTCTGCCAAAAAAGTGGCTAACACATTAGAAAGGAACACACAATTAAGGACATCACTAAAGCATAATCAGAAATTGTGTTTGAAAACTTTTAGAAGGAAAAAAAAAAGAAGTAATTGTGAATTAACGTTTATGCAAAACAAACAAATTATTAGTTATAGTTGTTTTTTAATTGTTCTTGAATATGGTGCTTGTTTAGTGAAAATAAAAAGGCAAAGAGGTTTTTTTCTGTAAAATTTTAATTTTCTCAATCTCATTCTACCGTATAGCGTATCCCAACAAAAACTTTTAAACATCTATATTCCTAGTGAACATCACTACTTTGCACATTGAAAATCAGAAGGGCAAAGAAAATGGAATCTTATAGACGTCAAGTGAATACAGATCGTTAAAAAGAGTAAAAGACTGTATATCGTCTTTTTTTCATTTCGTCTCATTACTTTAATTTATCTTTTCTTCGACTCAAATTGATATATACCAATTCTAGCTTGTGCCAAAATAAATTTAAGATTTTAATGCTCACCGAAAGATTTTATCTGACCCAATTTACTATTTCCTATAGCCACGCACATGGATTAAATATCTCCGCTTAACATCTAAAGAAAGTGAAAATAGCACGGGCTAGTCAGTTTTCGGACTGATAATTGAAAATAGTCGGCGTTTGTAAAGTCATTGAAAAATAATTATTATTTTGCTAAAACACAGAAAGTTCTAGCATAATATGTTGGATTATGGAGCTCATGCGTATAAACTTCCAGCATATTATGTTGCAACTCCAGCACACGGAAAATTTCAGCATAATACGATGGATTATGGAGCTCCTGCGTGTAAACTTCCAGCATATTATGTTGGAATTTCAACACATTATGATGGAATCTCATATGTAAAAAATTCAAACTACAGCATATTATACCGGAATTTTAAGGGTTTTTTGTTCAAATTTTATCTTTACATAAAAATTTGGCTGAATTTGAATTACTTTTGAAACTGTAGCTATTTTTCAATTACCACTTGTAAATCTGACTATTTCTGAATATTTTTTTTCCCTAAAGAAAAAACAGAAAGGCCCAATAATGTCACAACATGTTTTCTCAACAAATTAAATTCTGAACAAATTTGTTATTTTCTTAACATTTGAGAAAAGAACTTATTGGTACATATGTTTAAAGTGAAAATAAGACAATGACTTAAAATAAAGGGGTCACTAATCCTCTTTTAACTTATTGTAAATTTAAATGTCAAATGCAACACAATGTTTAAGATATCCAATTCCCTTGGGAAAAAAAAGATATCCAATTCAATAGTACATGATAAAGTACTTACACTATGTGTCCGCACATACAGGGAGATATGCACTATTCTACCATGATTTAACTTATATACATTATTAGTGTACAAAATTTTTACAATATCAATATATTTTAACATGTTTAACATGTTATATCCTTTATTTCTATGTGAGTAAATGAGATTATTATTTACAATCATATACTTTAAGTTATCTTGACACGACGGTATTAAAAAAATAATATAATGTAAACTTTTCAAAAATAAACAATATACTATAAGTGCATAAAGTTAAACTCGCAATTATGTTTCATTTGATCAAATCTTGTCCTAAAGCTCTATAAGTTGGAGTTATTGCAGTTTTTAGAAACTAAGGGGAGTGTGTGTAAATTGTAATATGTCAATTTCGTTAGGTGTTCGCTTTTTTATAACCTTTTCAAAATATAATGCTGACAAAAGTATAAAAAATATTTCGTACTGTTTTCGTGCAAAAACTTCTAACTTATTTTTGGAAAGAAAAGAAATAGTAGAAATTTGCAACAAAGACGAACAAAACCAATGATAATTGGATAGCATATGAATTTTGGTGGAACGCGACACGTTATTACCACGCCTAAGGAACCGGAGAAAAGGTTTTAAAAAAGAAGAAAAAGAAAGAATCTAACGCGCTGAAGAGTTGCTTATGTTTTACGCGGCAGATTTAACAAACTATTGAGTTCTGCAAATCATCTTCTCAATTCAAACATTAGAAAAACAAAACAATGGAGGTAGAAGAAAATCCTCAATTGCAAACGCGACCTGAGTCATCGCCAATGGAAGTTGAACAAATAGATCGGAGGCCGGCGGCTCTCGGAGACCTCCGCATTCTTCCCGACGAAGTTTTGTGCGCTATACTGACTTTTCTCACTCCTCGCGATGTCGCTCGCCTTTCCTGTGTTAGCAGGTTTTTTCCATTCTTTTACTGTTTTTTCTACAAAAAAAAAACTTAGTTTTGTGTATTTTTGATGTTTTTGAATGTGGAATTTGTGATCATATAGTTTGTATGATTCGGAATGACTTTTGGTTTGGAGCTCAATTTCTGCTTATTATATGTAAATATGAATGACGGTTCAATTTCGAATTTAATTAAGGTTTAGTTCATTCAATTGCATGATTCATTGCTTCTTCTGACCTATAGGTGTTCAATTTTTATTTAATCTCTATGAAGTAGTAGAATGTGGATCTTGTGTCCGTTTCTTTCTTCTCATTTTCATTTATTATTGGTCTATGGCAGATAGATGCCAGATAGTTTGCTCATTGTTTGCCGGGTGATCAAGTTGTTGGTGTGCCTGTGAGCATGTTGATTGGAATCTGATTAAATACGTGGAATATCTGCTTAAGATAGTGTGGATGATAATGACAAAGTTACTACCTTTATTGATTGTGCCCCTATGCCTATTAATCACTCGTAGAGTCAGTAGAGCCGAGCTTATTGATTGGACATGATTTCTTGAGATACAGCTCCTTATTCGAAGTGCTCTCAGTGCCTTCATTTTCTGATGTAAGCTTAAGGAAATAATCAGTGCCACTTTATCCAGTACATTTCTCAAATACTTACCATTTTGCAGTGTGATGTATATTCTATGCAATGAGGAGCCCCTATGGATGAGCATATGCCTTGATATTGCTAATCGTCAGCTTCAGTATAAAGGCTCCTGGAAAAGAACAGCCCTGGACCAGTATGGATATTCATAGGATTTTTCTCTGCAGTGTAGTTAGTCTTCATATATTCTGTTTTCTGACAGTTCATTGTATTTTCCCTTTGGATGTAGATTGAATGTGGCTTTTGAAAACAAGGAATCCTGCCGGAAGCCGCTACACTTTGATGGTAATATATATATATATATATATATATATATATATATATATATATACATATGTTTCTATTGGTTTCTTTGATTTTCTACACAATTTACTAATGGGAGCTCAACTTGTGCAGGATTCAATTCTTTGTTCCTGTATCGTAGATTATACCGGTGCTATACATCATTGAATGGATTTTATTATGATACCGGAAACGTGGAAAGAGCGAAGAACCTTTCTATAGAAGAGTTTCATGATAAGTATGATGGACAGAAACCGGTATGGTGTTCGCCACCTAAAATCGTTTTAACTCACATTGCGTGGTTGTTAGATTGTTGGTAATTTGTTAGATTATCTTTGTATCCACTATTTATATCGCATACAACTTGTGGTAAAGTTATGTTTTAGCTTGCATCATTTCATGCCATTTTACCTCCTTTCCGTTGAACATACTGACTTTCTCAAATTATATGTCATATTTTCTGTTATTTAAGTTATCCCACAATTGTGTCTACTTTGCTAAAAGGAAAACCTTTACTCTATTACCTTCAACAGATATCCTAGTGTCAAAAATTACTGTAGTTTCCACTTGAAAACAGACTAAAATGTTCAAGTTCTTGCGAAGTTAGTTTTCTGTCACTTTTGGACCCACTTCTACTCAACTATTCTGGCATTTCAAGTGTTCCTTACTAGCTGTTCCCAAGTCAAAGTAGGGCACTTGAATAAATGAAGGGAGAGCTTATTGTCTTGTATTAATTAGTTTTACACGTGCATATCAGAAAACAAGTTGTTTAGTGATTCTTCGTTGCCTCTTCTTCTTCTTGTTTTTTCCCGTCTCCATTACTATATTTTTTGCCTTTCATTTCACTCCTTTTCTTTCTTATATATACACTGAATTCATCGTATTATACAGAGGATTCATATGGCTAGACTCCAACTAGTATAGTTGATTGATGATATAGACTGGATCTTTCTCTTTAAATCTAGTTGGTTGCATTTTCTATCATATGACCTATGTTGTTCATATGTATTCTTAAAAGGGGGCAAAAGGCAGGGGTTTAATTAGTCTGAACATTTTTAGTGCTGACAGCTTATGTGCATGGTTTTCTTGATTGACAGCTCATGAGAGTATAGATTATCTTCTTCACCAAGCTTATTACTTACACTATAACAGGTACTAATTGCTGGATTGGCTGACACTTGGCCTGCAAGCACTACATGGACTACGGAGGAGCTTTTGAAGAAATATGAAGATACAGCATTTAAATTATCTCAAAGAAGTCGTCACAAGATTAAGATAAAACTTAAGGAATATGTGTCATATATCAAACTTCAGCATGACGAGGATCCTCTTTACATTTTTGATGAGAAGGTTCCTTTACACTCCTGCTATTCTCTCTGTACAGTTTCTCGTGACAGATTGTTCTAATTTGAATTATGTTCTCTCAGTTCGGGGAAACTGCACCAGAATTGTTGAAGGATTACAGTGTTCCAAATATATTCAAAGAAGACTTCTTTGATGTGCTGAACAGGGATCAACGACCTCCTTTCAGATGGCTCATTATTGGACCGGAGAGGTCTGGTGCCTCTTGGCATGTTGATCCTGCCCTAACTAGTGCGTGGAATACACTTTTATGTGGTCGTAAAAGGTATATTATTGAGAACCAGTCATCTTGTCTCAGGGTCTTGCTGAATACTTCAATTAGTGCACGTGTTCTTTAATAATTCCTGAACAGTCAAACTCGTACTCATTATTGCCTACTTGGTTGATAATCTCCCTCACCAATCAATGAAGTTAAGGCAGAACGCATTGGAGATAATGCTAGTTTGCTCAGTTGTTGGTGGAGATGATGGGGTTGGTCAGCTGCCCTAGTGTTGAAGTAAAAGAAGTCAAAGATGCATGCTGAGGCTTAAGTAGGAATTTTATTTAGAGAGCTTATACTTCTGAACGAGCTTTTTTAAGCTCACTGCCCTTCTGTCCTATAGGCATATCATACTTCTTGCATTTCATGGTAGGTTCGTGGGTGTATATCTACAAAGAGGCTGGCTTTGCTGAAAATTTGAGTCCGGTCAGTCTTTCACTTTTTTCCTTGAAGTTATTTCATGAAAAGTGTGCTTGAAAATAGCCAAATACATATATTCTTAAAAGTGTAAACAAAGGAAAAAAGAGTTTGACTCAATTAATATCTTCCCATAGTTTTCCTGAATAGGCATTAGTAAGTTAATGCAGTACGAGTTTAGTGCTTTGCATTTATGATAGCTTGGAGCAGGGAATGAGCTAAAAGAAGCTCAGCGAAGAAGTGGATGGTGACAAAAGACAGATTTTGGCTCTCTGCTGGGAGTTTATTGCCTATAAAACTAGATTGATGTTGTTTGCTCAAAATTCTCCAATGATAAGAAATGGCGCTAAGTTGTCTACTTCTTGAGTTATGACTCTCCTT